CCAGTTTCGAATCCCAGAACCCACATGGTAGCTAACAATTGTCTGTAACTACAGTAAATGAAATATTTTTTAAAACTTTAAAATATATTTTAATTCTTTGAGACTCTCAAAACATATATGTGATATATTTTGAGCACATCATTCCTTCCAGTTCAAATTGATCACACCCATCTTCCCATTCCAAACCCTTCTTTCCAAGTTTCTCTCAAAGCTTCATGTCCTATTCATGTTTGTTTGTTTGTTTGTTTGTTTTTTCTATTATAAACAACTGAATGTAGTTAAGACTGCCTATGTACACATGGGTATAGGAACCTGCTAGGGGCTGCAGCCCTGAAGAAAACTGACTCTGTCTCCCTGTTGCCATCAACTACCATCAGTTCCCAGCTGGGTGGGAGCATTATGAGCCTCTCCCTCAACCATGTTGGAATGCTGAATGGTTGAATCTTGTGCAGGTCTTTTTCAGACAACCACAGCTTCTGTGGGTAAATCGGTCCAACATCCCTGAAATGTCCAGAAGACACTAGTTATCAGCACTCCTGCCTTGCCTCTGCCTCTTGGAATCTTTCTGCCCACACTTCTTTAATGCTCCCAGAGCTGTAGGGGGAAGTAATGCGATATAGATGTCTCATTTATGGTTGAGAACTCCACTGACACTTATTTCCTGCACTTTGACCAGTTGTGGGTCTCTGTATTCACTGAAAAGAAACTTCTGTGTTGAAGGGTAAGCGTTACATCAATCTATGTATATATGGATAAGTATCAGACAGTTTGGTACTATGCACATTTAGCTAATTAATAGTAGTAGGTTCTCTCTTAAGCTCTGTTACTTCACAGGCAACAAGTTCTTGACCATATGAACTTGCACCTTCATATGGCCAAGTGAAAATCTTGGCTGCAGAGGAAGACCTAGAGGGCAGAGGCCCTGCATGATGCTGCAGTTCATTGAATGCAGCATCAAGAGTTCTATACTTGTTCCTTTACTTACTAAACGATGTTGATCTGAATTAATGATGTCCAAAATAGAGTCTTTTGGCCCTTAAATAAGTAATATATTTCAATATTTTTGTGGATATAGTTGCTTTCTGGCATTCTTTTTTTAATTATTAATAACTGCACATAGTTTCCAAAAACTGGTCTATCAGATTTCTTGGAATTTGAGATTCTTGAAGAGCTTCTCTCCTCCCAATATCTCACAGAAACCTTGTTCTCATTCTTCTAATCAAAGAGCTTCTCCTCTATTCATTATTTACTATGTGATTAACCTGATGAACACAAGCATGAACATCCAAATTCTAAGGGATAAGGACAAGTAGAAATACTTCAATGAGGACTGAAATGTACTTTCAGTGATACAGATGATATTCACAGCATCACTTCTTATATCTCCCTTTTTCATCATCAAATTTTATTATTTTTGCATCATAAATAATTATTGAACTTTTCAATGTATTTTATTTTTGATCCATATGACACCTGTGCAGATATTAAGATGTTCTGTATTTTGGTTCTAAGGACGAACACAGATAAAATTTCATATTTATTACCTAAAACTTTGCCCATTACTTCAGAATAAGTACATTCAAAATAATCTCCTATTTTGACATCTATAATACTTTCTGGTTAGTTATTTTCACACTGAGTGTTATAAAACATGGGAACGCTTTTTTTCTATTTAACCACAGCATTATGCCCATCAGGAAAGATCTCCTTCCCCCTCCCTCTCATTCATTCCTGTCTCTATTAATCACTATTTATACTCTAAAATTTTAAAATATCTTTGAGTTATTGTACATTTCATATAATAGATCTTAATCAAATTTGGACCCCTCCCACACATACCACACCCCGTTAGCCCCCCTCCAGATTTCATTCATTCTGTCATGTATGTTAAGTCCTATCTGGTAAAATATTTGTAACCAGATGTCCTTCTAGAGTCATTCTTGTAAAGAATATTTACTCTCCCTCATCCCAAACTAATCATTTTGCCAATAGTTGGCAAGGGTTGGGGTCTGCTGCCCGTTTCCCCAGATCTTTGCTGGGTTTTTGTCTGACTGAGTCTTCATGGGTCTCCTGCATGCTGTCATCATTGTTGCAAGTTTATATGAACAAGCCCCCAGAGGCCTGAAAGAATGTTTCCTTATCTTTTTTCACCAACTCTGGCTCTTACAATCTCAATCTTTTAAGAAAATTATTATATCAAATTATTAAGAACATGAAAACTCTTAATGAAATACATTTAGACCCTATCATATCTTATACAATATTGTTAAGGCAAGCATGTGAAATAAGATAACTTAAACATTATATAATAGTCATTACTTTGTATAGGTATGCAATAATAATATATCATAAGTCCTAAAATATCTGTGTGGTAATCAGACATGGTGGTGTACTTCTTTAAACTCAGTACTCAGGAGGCAGAGGCAGGTGTATCTCTGTAAGCTCAAGGCTGGCCTGGACTACATAGGGAGTTCCAGACCAGCTGGGGCCTACAGGTAGACCCTCTGTAAAACAGGAACAGCATCAAACACCTGTGTGATAAAAGCCCCAGAAATTTGGAAACTTGCAATTCTCATGATTGGCTAAAAAGTGGGTTCCTTTTTGCCTGGACCACCTGTAAAGGTCATTGCTGGCTGACCTTGATAAGGCAGATCTTGGATTTTGTGTATGCTGTAAATATCCAAAATCTAATGCACTCTTATATTTTCTGTCTTCATAAGCACAATGGTTTTTAATCAGTTTCTTAGTTAATAATGTGCACAAAACAGAATTCTAAGTTGATAGTAAATTCAAGGTAATAATACAAAAGAAAATAACTTTATTTTTCCTCCTGTGTTAACTAACTTTTCTCATTCCTGTGACAAAAAAAGAAATGAACAAACTAAGGAGAAGAGATTTGCTTTGGCCTTTGGTTCCAAGGATACAGTGAATCATGGCAGAGAAAATAAAGTAGCCGGAGAAGATGCCAGTAAATACAGGAAGATCAGGAAGAACAAATGGGATCAGAAGGAATGTCAGATTCTAACTCTTAAAGCCCCCAGTGACCTACCTCTTCCAGCCAGGTCCTTCTTCCAATGCTGGACTAGCTGCGAAAACAGTGTCATCAATTGGCAACCAATTGGTCAAGCACATAATGCTGTGGGAACATTTACATACAAATTGTAAACTACTTTTATGTATTTTATATATATATGATAGATTAATAAATAGACAGATGACAGATAGAGAGAGAGAATATATTTCATCTATGTCATTGATGAATATTTGAAATTTTACCTTGACTGATTGATAAAAGGTCAAGAAAAGGCTATAGAAGTTATTGGGCAATATAATACATTAAGATATGAGAACAGCTATTTCTAATCTTCAAGAGTAATGAAACACATTATCATTTTGAAGAAATGCATTCAGGTAGCTAGCTTCAACATTTAAAGCAGATCTAAACACTCTTTAAGTAAGAAAGAAATGCATAAGGCTACAACTGGCTGTTTTGGAAAATAAGAGACTGTAGAGTGTGTGTTCCTGGACAGGAGCACTATATTAACCTCACTGTCCCACAGCTCAGGGACCATTGTGGAAGAGGGTGCAGAAATATTGTTAAGAGTCAGGGTTGGTGCATTTCCAGCCACAGGAAATTTGCTCATATGAACTTGCAACAATGGTGATAGAATGCACAACATCTATTCAGACTCACAGACATAAGCCCATTATAGAATGAGGAAAATGGGCAGCAGACCCCAACCCCAGCCAAAGAACTATTGTCAACTGATTACTGCTGGGTAAGGGTGAGTATATCTTCTTTAAAGGAGTAATTCTAGATATCCTGACCAAACTGGAGTGGATAAACAAACTTGCACGATGGGGCATCTGGGGACAAATGCTTAACTGGATAGGATTTAATATATATTACAGAATGCATGACGTTTGGTTTTGAGGGATGCTATAGAGGGAGCAGATTGTGGAGGGGGTCTAAATTTGATTATGACCTCGCTTATGTAATGTACAAAAATGCACTAAATTTTTTAAAAGATATCTATACTTAGGAAAATATTGATGATGATTCTATGAACCTAGAATATTTGTAATGCCCTTACACACAAAATAACAGCATGAGTTTCCATGTCAAGCAGACGCTCACCAATGTTGTTTTCTTGTAAAATATTTGAAAAGCTATTATTTGTCACCTCTAATCTACATTCTGAGCACATAACAGATCAGCACACTGCTACACCAGGTCAGGGTGACTTGAAAACTTTTTCAGAATAGAGACCATAATTTATTCAAACTTACTTTCATGATAAATAGCACGTATCCAATAATTACTACACGAGAGAGAGAGAGAGAGAGAGAGAGAGAGAGAGAGAGAGAGAGGAGGCAGGAGGAGAGGAAGAGAGAGATAACATTTTATTACATAAATAAAACTTTAATGGACTCTGATTCATTATTACATTCTTACCTCATGATTTTATTTAATCTGTTCTGATAAAAATTTCTTCCTCAATGAAATGAATATCTTCAAAGGCTTGCCCATTTTTTCCATTCACTGATCCAAATAGTTCTTAATTCAGAAAGGCATCCATTCAAAGTTCCTATATGAGTTGCAAAGTTGCTTCTGTCAAAATTATGTGGTATTTGATTTCTGTTTTGGCAATGACCGATTATTCCATAGCTTTATCCGTAGTTTTGTCTGTTAGATGTATCATGAGGAAAAGGGAAGAAAATGAGATTTTTGAGAGTTCTAATATAATCTGCACATCATTCCTTAATCTTCACAATCAGATTATGAACTATTTCATACTATCTCAAGTTTATAGATCATATGTTTAAAAATAAAGAGTCCTGATGTTTTCCAGCAAGAAAAGACAGTCAAATTTATTTTCTTGAAATAAAATATCCATTCTCATTCCACTTAACAAAATTAACTGTGAATTTAATAGAATACATGAAATCATCCTTTACAGACACAATAAAAAACTATAAATAAACCTGAAATAACATGATTAAGAAGAAAAGACTTTAGTGTCTACTAATTTTCTGACTGTGTCCTTGACATCTTTATTTCTCAGACTGTAGATGAGGGGATTTAGCATGGGGATCACCACTGTGTAAAACACAGAGGCCACTTTGACAGTGTGTCCGGAGTTCTTGGAGTTGGGCACACAGTAGAGGAAGAGAATGGTTCCATGGAAGATGGTGATGGCGGTCAGGTGGGAAGCACAGGTGGAGAAGGCTTTGCGGCGTCCACTGGCTGAATTCATCCTCAGAATGGTAACAACAATGAACAGGTAGGACAAGAGAATGATGAGAAGTGTGCTAACTTCATTAAAAGTGGCAAAAATGAAAAGCAACATTTGATTGACATGTGTGTCAGAGCATGAAAGTGCGAGGAGTGAGGAAAACTCACAGAAAAAGTGATTGATCATGTTGAAGCCATAAAAAGATAAATTTAGAGAAGAGCATGTGAGGATCAATGAACATGTAACACCCCAAGTATAGGATCCCCCTACCAGCATGGCACAGAGCCTCTGGGACATTGCCATTGAGTAGAGAAGGGGGTTGCAGATGGCCACGAACCGGTCATACGCCATCACCCCTAATAAAAAAGATTCAGTTACCACAAATGTACAGAAGAAAAAGAATTGTACCACACATCCTATGAATGAAATGGTTCTGTCATTTACAACTAGGTTCACCAGCATCTTAGGAACAACAATGGAGGAGTAGCAGAAATCCACAAAGGAGAGGTGGCTGAGGAAGAAGTACATGGGGGTGTGCAGTTTGGGGTTAATTCTGATTATGAGGATCATGCCGATATTACCCACCACAGTGACACTGTAAATGGTGATAAATATCAAGAAGAGGGGGACTTGCAGTTCTGGGTAATCTGAGAAGCCCAAAAGAGTGAATGTTGCTCCACTGGTATTTCCAACTGACAGTGGCATGGTGTCAGTTTGTAAGAAGTCCTGAAAGCAAAAATAGTGAGAGTGAAAATATAGCAGGCTTTCTTCACTCATTTCACAAAGCTTGGAGGATAGGGTGTAGTATAGCTCAGAATCAGTGTGTTTACAGTGAAAGGCACAAAATAAAATGATAGCCTTTGTAAATCACCTTAAGAAGTATTAATTAACTTAATCTCTCTCAAAGAAAAAATAGTGTCTGTAAACACAACAAATGATATGAAGGGACTTGAAGCTATCTAAATCAATTTTTTACATATAGCTTTCATTAGTCTTTAAATGTTATAAGTTCATACAGATTCACCTAAAATAGCATGACTGGTTATCTCAGGTTTGTTATCATTAAGAAAACCCAGGAATTTACAAAGAAATTTTTAGACATCCTGTGTTAACATATCTTTTCTTATCAACATTCATAATGCTTCACTTAAATCTTAGTTTTTAATTAACTTTATGAGTATGTCTTCACAGTATAGAATATGCATCTGTTCAACTCAAAACTGATGTTAAAATCAATTTTTTTCAGAAAGTATGTTACATTGTGAAGTTCCGCGTAACAACTGTTAGTGTCAGAGAAATAGTGTGACTATAACGTATGATACGATTCTGATTTCATCATTATTGTAGAGACAAAGAAATCTTAACTTCCCAATGACACATGATAAATAAAAAAATTTAACTTTTACATTAGTGCTTTTCTTAATTAACTGTCGTGTTTTTAAACTAGAACAAACTAGAGCTTTAATCCCATGGGTCATAATCCAGTGACACATATTTATGTTGCAGTGGCATACGACAAAACAGCTTTAGGTCAAACACATGTGAAAGGGAACTATGTATCACCCAGGGATAACTAGATATAGTAGATGTTCTAGCACTGATACTCTCCTTGTGCAGCATAAACACTCCATCTGTGTGTGTGTGTGTGTGTGTGTGTGTGTGTGTGTGTGTGAATTCTCCCTCTTTCTTTGTCATCACTCTTTCTCTATGTTCTATTAATTTGACACATGGTTTATTCATTATCTCCCTGTCCTATCTTTGATGGAGCAGGTTTAACACTTTTATTTAGTACTGCTCTATGTGAACATTTCATGCTTAAATAAAATAAACACTGTACACAAAAGAATCATTTTAGGTTGGGTTTTAATGACTGCTTGGAGGGGGAAAGACAGTGTCATACAGGAATGGGACTCTGTGGACACAGTGGATGAACCCACACTGAAGGATGTTTGGGAACAAAAATCAGACTCTATAGAACATATTATATAAATATGTATATGAAAGTACATTGAATTGGACTGGGGCCAGTGGAGGGAGGTGCAGAGAGTCAAGGGGTTCTAAATGTCAACAAAATATACTGTACAAAAATTGCAAAAATTTTATTTTAAAAAAGAATCACTACAGATCTAGAATGCTATTCATATTTTATCATTACAGAAGTTTCTTTCTTGATTAATTCTGTTGAGGTTATTGAATTCCTAATAGTTATTTCTAGTCACATTATCCAAAAGAAAGTGTCTAGATAGTCTCTCAAGAAAGATATTGAATTATATTGCAAGGGTGACACATTCAGTGTCCTAGTTTCTAAAGCCATGATTTTGGTCACTGAAGAAAATCCCTTCCAATACTAGACATAGGCATCGTATTTTCTTCTTGCTATATTCCATTTTTCTAAGATGCTCACATTCTCTGTTTATGTTACATTTCACATAGTGAATCTTGTAGCTCAGTTATTATTATAACATTCACTTCCCCAAAAGATATGTCATTTGAAAAGCAAGATAGATGAAGTCCTCCTCCTTACAGATTTTCTTTTAAAACACTTTGTTGTTGTTATTTTGTTATTTGGAGTTAACATCAATTTCCTGTTTTGTAATCTTAATCATCATTTTTATTGTTTTCTCTAGTTGGTTTAATGTTTACTTTATCTTGCATAAAGATTGGTTAAATCTTGAAATCTTCCAAAATCTTAAAAAAGGGAGGCATTACTGAATGTCATATTCACAGAGCTATCCCTCCTCCCACCCAGAGTGCCTATTTTTCCGGGGATTCTGGAGGATCTTACCTAAGCCAGGCCTCTAAAGCCAAGCTTCACAGAAGAGCATCCCTGGTCGATTCTGCCTTATACAAAGGACTCTCTAAGAAAGCTCTATTTCTTCCCTTTCAATTTTCTTTGTAGAAAGACACTGAAATCAACTGGTGTAGCATTTTAAAACTAACATGCTGAGGGAAAAAGCAGGTCCTCTCCTCTTAGGGAGTAACACGTGGATTCTTCTATTTATTGCTAAAATCTTGGAGAAAGGGAGCCTTAGAGAGTATTTATTTTTACAATCTCTAGTGAATACATTACAAACAATTAAAATTAATCATTTCATATGATGCAACTCTAATACATTGCAAAATCCTAGAAGCAAGTTATATATATATATATATATGTATATATATCACATTTTTCCACAGCTCCTTGATGACTTCTTTAGGCTTCTTCTATTACAAGGAAAATTATTATGCCACAAAATTACCATTATCACATAGTAATTAACCCTTATTTGCTACGTATAATGTTCTCTTTCTACAGGAGACACTGACGGTATCAGAGGAGTGCGAATATCCAGCTGTTTGGCCAACATAATTCATTGATGGTAAAATAAATCTTCAGAAAATATAAACTATAAAGTAAATAAATGATTTAATCTTTGCCACTATTCTACTGACTCATCCAGACAGTCTGATCTCTTTTTCATCCCTATAAAAGGAGCACACACGGGGCTGGAGAGATGGCTCAATGGTTAAGAGCACTGGCTACTCTGCAGAGGACCCAGTTTCGATACCCAGCACCAACATGGCAGCTAACAACTGTCTGTACCTCCAGTTCCAGGGGATTCAACAAACTCTTTGGGCCTCCACAGCCACTGCATGACACGGGTGCACTTACCACTTATATATATATGCAGGCAAAACACTCATACACATAAAATAATAAAAATAATAAAATAAACTATTACAAAGATCACACACTTTTCATATCGCATTTTGTGCTGTGTCTGCCATTTTTGCTCAAATGCTTCCTTCCAGTCAAAACTTCCGTGAAAGACTCTCACCTGAAAAAATCAACTACAGTCCAACATTGTTGGATCATACAATAATTGAATTTTATTGCATTTATTATGTAGTTTGTTTCACCAAGCAAGAAAAAAAATGGTCGCAAAACATATTCCATTGTTCAGTTCACCAATATCTCCAATTTCCTGTACAAATGAATATTTATTGATTGATATATATGACTATATTTCTGGAATAGAACCCAATTCACCATAACTATAGAAGTGTATAGAGAGGCTAATACACCAAAAATAAATTGAAGATTTTTTTTTTTTACAAAATGGTAACTTAATGTAAATATGTACAATTACAGCAATTAAAATTAAAGTTGAATGTTAAGAATAAAAGAAAATAAAGGTTTATCTACTAATTTTCTATTTCTAGGTAAGTTCATTAAACTAGAAATATGAGATTCTTTTCAAAATGAAAAGCACTGTGGTGAAACTACTTGCAAGTGCAAGCCAACTTCATGATCATTCTCCTTTAGAAATACTGAACTGTGGGGCTGGAGAGATGGTTCAGCAGTTAAGAGCACTAACTGTCTTGCAGGAGACCCAGATTCGATTCCCAGCACCCACATGGTGGCTACGAACCATCCTTAACTCCAGTTCCAGGGGAATCCAAAGCCCTCTTCTGGCCTCTGTGGCATTGCACAACACAGGTAAACTCACATACATGCAGGCAAAACACTCATGCACATAAAATAAAAATAATAAAATACTTTTAAAAAGAAATACGTAAGTGTATTTTCATCAAACTCTTATAATGCTCTTTATTGAGTAAACATGTTCACATACCACGATTTCAACTGATGATTCATTAATGCAGAAGCATTTCATTCAAGTTGTTTAATTTTTCTGTAGCAATAACTAGCAACACAAAGTACAGCCTGTTAGGAGAGTATGAATCAGCTATGAGAATTTTAAGTTACTATTTTATGAACATTAATTTCATAATAGAGACAATCAGAAAATGCAGTTGAGTCTATGGAAAAACACAGAATTATTCATCTGGTCAATTATTTTTCCTTTGTATTGAATTTTGCAAATTTCATTCAATATATTTTAATTGTATTTGGATCCCCTCACCTATCTCCACCTATCTTATCCACCCTCACAACTGCCTGATCAAGTCAGTATATTCTATGTATGCCTATAGTGTCAAATTTGTGCCCCCAAATGTCCTTTGGTGTGGGTCCACTAGAGCATGATCAGCCTACCAGTAATCACACCCTTAAAAGAGATTGACTCAACCCTCTCCAGTCTCCAATAGTTTCTCAGGCACACTTGGGATTTCTTTCTTTCTTTTTCGGTCTTTTTGAGACAGGGTTTCCCTATAGTCATAGCTGGCCTGGAACTCACTATGGAGAACAGATTTGCCCACACCTGTTTCCCAAGTGACGAGATTAAAGGTGAGAGCCCCCTTGACAGGTTCAAGGGTTGGAATTATTTATCCACTTCCCCAAGTCTATTCTGGGATTTTGTCTGCTGGAGCTTACATGGTACTTGTGCATGCTGTCACCATTGCCATTAGTTCACATGAGTAACTTTCAAGATGTCTGGGAAATGGTTTCCTTGTGGTCATTCACTTCCTCTGAGTCTTACAATATTTCATCCCCTTTTCTGAAATGATGCCTGAGTCTTTGGAGGCAGAAGTTTGATATAAGTGTCCATTTCAGGGATAATAACTTTGCAGTCTCTAATTTTCTCCAAGTCGAACAATTGTAAGGACCCATATTTAACTCCACACATTTACAATCACTTGATTTTTGACAAAGGGGCCAAAAGTACACATATACTCATTTATTACACAAGTATGTGTGTCATAGGTTTACCATGATTCACATACCAGCTTATTTAGTAGGACACAGAAAGGATAATATT